CTACAGTGCAGAGCAGAGCTGCTCCTTCAGCTATCTGAGACTGCATCTTTACAGGAGCAGACAGCTTCATCTTTCTTCCATCGAGTGGCTGTTGGCTTTGAACCACCGACCTTGTGGTTAGCAGCTCAACATTATCCCACAGTGCTATCAGGCCTCCCTATCAACATATAGTAGTTATTATTGACATGATTTTTAGAATTGCCTCTCCAATTACTCTCCTCTCTCCTCTCCTGGTGTGCTTCCTCTCCACTAGGCTTAACTCACAGACTTCCTGATCTGACACAAACTGAACCACAGGGCCCTTTCCACTATGCTAGCTCAAGGCCTGGGCATCAGAGGACTGAGCCCTCAGCCCTGGGTCCATAGGACTAAACATCATCAGATTTACTGATCCCATCATAGGTAGACTGCTCCCTGGTATCATGACCATTTCAAGAGCTAGGACTAGAGGTACATTGGCTGGGCAGTGACCATGACTGTATGTAAAAGGCTCTAGAGGTCATTGCTTATTAGCAAAGGTCCCTGGGGTTACAGGTCTGTACTACTGTAGGAGGAGGAGCCCTGGACAGGGCCTGGTTCAGCCTCAGTGACTAAGCTGCTTTGTCGTCCTAGTTGAGTCTCTGTTCACCCTGAGTCTGCTGCTTCACTAAGAAACTGAGGTAAAATGGGAGGCAGTAATCTCTAAAGTCTCTTTCAGTGCACATTCTATTAATTCTGGGTTCTAAACAAAGGTCTGGAAGGGAATCAGTGTGAACAACAGACCTTAAGCCTAGAATGTTCTGTTTTCCAGTGGGCTAGGTTTTCTTCTCCCCATAGAGACTCAGTAAGGTCCCTGGGTGTTGCAAACAATTTGTGCTCAGCTGCTAACTGACAGGTTGCCAGTTCAAATCCATCCACTGTTGGTAGGAAGTCTATGGAAGATAAAGCCAGGCATATGCATCCACAAAGATGAATATGAACTGCGCCAAGAAAATACTATGGAGTTCTACTCTGTAATAACATGAATCAGCAACTCAAGGGCCAAGGATTCGGGTTTGTGTGTGTGTGTTCTTTCCCTTTGAGAATGAGTGAGTTTCTTGAAAGCTCAGTCTTATCTTCTCTTTCCCAGTGCTTGGTCCCAGGCCAGAACACACAGTAGACTCTCAGGAAGCAGGCAAAAGACACATGTCTTGACCCAAGGAAAAAAAAAAAAAACCAAACAAAAACACAGTTTCTGTCGCGTTTACTCTGATTCCTGGTGATCACACCAGTGTCAGAATCGAATTGTGCTCCATAGGGGATTCAAGGTGCTACAAGTGGTCTTTATATACTGTTGAGTTGGTTCCAACTCACAGAGTCCCTGTAAAGGGTTTCTGAGAGTAGGTGGTGGGTTTGAACTGCCAACTGTAAGGTTCAGCACCACACCAAGACCTAAGGTGCTGCTTGGTGGTGCAAACAGGTAATTTCCAGCAGAGATATGAGAGAGTGAGTTCACCAAGGTGTCAATTTGTTGTTGTTAAGTGCCATTGAGTCAGTTCCAACTCACAGGAACCCTGTATAGGGTTTCCAAGGAGCAGCTGAGGGGTTTGAACTGCTGACCTTATAGTTAGCAGTCCAGTGCTTGTTCTACAGCACCACACTCAATCTCCAACCTCCATTTGCAACTGAGTGTGTTATATGTTTGTACCACCGAGGGACACCAAGGCAAAACTAAAGATGTCAACTGTCTCCTTTTTACCCTCTGAGGGCAGAAGCAGGACAATGAGGATACAGTAAAATAAGAAGGATGCAAGCTAGATCATAAGAAAAACAAAATGAGACAGTTACATTTCTGGAGCCAGTTAAGACCTGACAGCCAGTTCAAACCTCCTCCTTTCCTTGAATAAGGAAAAGGAAGTGTACAGGAGATCTGAATAAGTATCTCAAGGTCACCCAGAGAGTCAGGGGCCCTTCCTGCTTAATCATGATCATTGTGATGTCAGAGTATCTTCTAGGGATGTCATTAAGATGAGAGAGGCAAGGGAGCTGGGGAATTGAGAAGCTAAAGGCACACCCTCAGACCTTTTGTAGCCAGTCTCATATTGCAAACAGTATCGGTCTCCATGGTGGAATCGGGGAGAACATTTTAAATGTCAGGCCAGGCACTGCACCTTTGGCAATCATTCTGGAAGTTGCCTGGTGTCTGCTATGGCTGCCTACGTGAGACAGAGGCCACCTTGCACAGGGGCTGGGGGAGGGCAGGAATGACTGCTCACTGGCTTCCTTAGCTAGTTCCCCCTGTAGTCAGCCAGTCCATGGCTGAGCTTTGTTCCAAGGACATGACTACATTATCTTCTCTACCTAAAGACACTTCACTGGGGCTGAGGAACAGCTGGTGACAAACTCCTCTCTTTTCCCAGGTTGTGAAAATTGCTAGAGCTGTACACATGTGGTTGGATAACAAGTGGGAATAGTTGTACATTTTGCTCTACATTTCTTCCTTGTTCAGAAATGCTCCTCTCTTCCCCAGGAGCCCCAATCCACCTTCTGTTGATTATAATCTTGAGAGTAGAGTTGGTTTTACACAGGCATCTCCATATATATATATGGAGTCAGTTAACATATATGTGTGTGTGTATTGGGCATGACAGAGGGGATGGAGCGGATTCCTGAGGAGGATTTACATCTAAAGATCTCACTGTTATTGGCACCCCACTGTGTCCAATGCTCTGTCATCCCTTTGTGAAGAACTCTGCTCTTTCTCTCCAGTCCCCTTTGGAAATCTAGCCTATTGGGAGGCACCAGAAATATCACTTGAAGTTTTTCATCAGCAATACGATAACATAGCCTGAACTGAAGATACTTGTAGAGACCCATTTTAGGGGTTCCAGGGTATGAGAAGCTGAAGATCTGTCCTCACACGTACCATCAAAACCCAAAGGTGAGCAGTAAAGTGCTTGGCTGCTAGCTGAAATGTTGGTAGTTCAAACACCACCATCCCATCCCCACCGATGCACATGCCATGGTAGAAAATCGTGGCAGTCTGCTTCTGCAAAGATTTACAGCCTTGTGAATTCTGCTTTGTCCTCTGGGGCTACTATGAGTCAGTGTGACTCTATGGCAACAGGTTACACATGCCACTGCCTCATCCTTCCTCCAAATCAGATCTACTACTTGCATATTGATAGTCCTGGTGTTATAGTCTCTATTCTGTCCTGTTGAATTTGGATTCAGCCTCAGAATTCTTTTCATAGCTAACTGATAAGGTATGGAAAGAGCTATTTTCCATCCTTGTTTTTAAACTTGCCTTAAATGCAAACACAATTAATGATTGAAATCCTGAGAAGCAAGAAGATAGGGTGGAATTGAGGGTTCCTGGGTGGTTGTTGTTGTTAGGTGCTGTCCAGTGAGGGTGGACTCATAATGACTCTATGCATAACAGAACAAAACACTGTCTAGTCCTGTGTCAACTTCACAATCGTTATGTTTGAGCCCTTTGCTGCTACTCTCCATAATGTTTTCTTTCTTCTGGCACTGAATCTGATTATATTCACAAGGTTTTCAGTGACTAACATTCAGAAGTAGTCTGTCTCTCCTTCTTCCTAGTCTGTCTTAGTCTCAATGCTCCACTAAAACCTGTCCACCGTGGGTGACCCTGCTGGTATTTCAAATACTGGTGACATAAATTCTAGCATCACAGCAACGTGCAAGCCACCACAGTACCACAAACTACCAGACAAGTGGTTAAAGAGCTCAGATGCTCACGAAAAGGCTGAAGGCCTGAGTCTACCTAAAGATACCTGAGAAGGAAAACCTAACAGTTCACTTAACTGATGACCCTTTAGAGTACAGTTGTACTCAGACACACATCAGAAGTGTTCAGAAACGCTTTCAGGACCCTAAGACAGAGTAGACCCTCATAGAATGTGCTCAGACTAAAGGTAATGATGAAAGCCAAGGAAATCAGAATAAGAGGGAGGATCTCCAGAGATTAATCAAATCATTCATTCATTCCTGTGCATTTCAAGCTACCTTTCCAAATACAGAGAATCATCATCCATCAATTTCCCTGTTTCAGCATAACCACTGAGGAATGGTTAGTCCATACTTTTAAAAATCCAGTTTCTACATGAGCTTCCATATAGCCAAGAGCCACAACATAGTGTTGTTCAAAGTATAGGCCTGTTCTTCCTTTGTGTGTGTGTGTGTGTGTGTGTTATTGTGAATTATGTGATGGTTTACATGGGAGAACATTAGTTTTACAGTCATCCTATCATATATCGTTTCATTGCCATTGTTACAATCCCCTCCATGCATCACCAACCAACCAAAGAGTATACCCTGCAAGCCAGCCCTCCCCTCACCCCCCCTCTGGTCATCAGCACACAGCCCCTCTCCCTCTCTGGGTCTAGAGTCCCCAGCTGCTCCATCTCTCCCTCCACATCACCATCTCTGCCTCCATATCTGGTGTCACTGCTTCTCTGGGTAGGGTCCTGCTCTCTGCTCTTCTCCCTTGATGGTCCCAGGGACCTCCATTCCTAGACTTCAAAGTTAATAACTCCCCTCCTTGCTACAAAATGTCTACCTTTACATTTCCAACCCTCACAATCAATCCTGATAACAATCATTCACTATTGTATCACAAAAGATCTATCTGCATTTCCTTTCATTAGCCCCGACTAGACAAATTGGATATTACTCAGTGGGGATTCTACCTTCCTCTATGCCCTCTGGATCTAGACTCCCTTTTGAAAGCTTGCCCCACCCCTCTTTGGGTAGCCAATGTCCAAGTTGCCTTTCCCTTTCTACTCTGTATATGGAGGGGATGGGGAATGATCCTTGCTGTAAAAATTTGTTCCCTTTTTTGAGCTACTGCATCCATAGGTGTAGGTCAAGTTCATCAAATTAGATCACATTACTCTTTTTTTTCCTCTTCTTTCTCTGTTCTTCCTTTTTTTAAAAAATGGCTGTGTTCTGCCTGTATTTGATATGAAATCTCTGATGAGACTCCCACAATATGGGACCAGCCTTGTGGGCCTTACCTGCTGCAGAGCTCTCTGGATGTCAATTCCCTGTCCCCAGGGCACCGCTGGGTTAGCCAGACAGTCCCCAGCATTCCCCCGGCGGGATATATCAATCCTCTGCCTCCGCAGACTCTGGAAAGCCTCAGCCATCACTTTCACTCCATCATAGGTGAGCGCAGAGGTGTACTGGTGGGAGGAATGGAAACAGGTAGGTAGCAGAGAGAGCTGACAGGGAGGCAGAGTGAAAGCAGTGATATGAATGTGGGCAGAGGGCCAGGTACAAGGTATAAAGGAGAAGTTAACAGTGGTGACCCAGCTAGCGGCTTCTTTTCAGATAAGGCAGCTAGCCCATGTTGCCCTCATGGATTGTGCGTTTAATGATGCCAGATGTGATTTTTGAAGAGAAGTTACAATTTTATATTCTTGTATGCAGTCTTATGAGTTTTAAAATGCTAGTTCAGTTGCAGGGGATGGGGTGTATGGACTAAATAAAACATATCTGCTGAACAGACATATGCCATGAAGGGCCAGTTAGTTGTCTGTGTTACAATCACCAACTGGGAGCCAAGGGCAATTATTACTCCACCATCCCTTATTACAGTAAAAGAACAAAAGGATCCAAGAAGCGGGAGCTCTTAATTATTTTTGCATATGGCTTCCCCAAGTCATAAGTTTACATCTTGCAAAATTTCTTCTTGTGATTATTCATGACAACTGTCTCTCTCTCTCTCTTTTTTTCTTAACCTGAGGGGAACTAAGATGCAAGTGAAACAAAACCAGGATAATAGTCCATTACCATATTTCCTAGCTTGGAACCATTATCTCTTTTCTCATTTGATTTGTCCTTAATGCCTAGCTTGTTGTCTGGCACATTGTAAGTTTACAATAGAGAAGATTAATATCTATATACCTTTCCAATTTTTAACTTTTATTCTGTCACATCTTACATTGCATATGTGTACTTTTATAAGCTGCTCCAATCTTTTGCCTACGAGAAAAGGTATTCATATACTGGATTAAACATGATGGTGATTGTGAGGAAGACACAGGACTGGGAACCATTTTGTTCTAGTGTACATTGTTGTTGTTAAGAGTCGTCCAGTTGGTTCCAACTCATAGCAACCCTGTAAAGCATTTCTGAGGAGTGGCTGGTGGGTTTGAACTGTTGACCTTGTAGTTAGCAGCCCAGTGCTGATCCTACTGGATAAGTAAGATATTAAAGCCACTTTAAAACCAGCATTTTAAAAGTGCCACACCTGGTTGCCACAAATTGAAGATGGTAACTAACAATAACATTCACACATTAATTGAAAAGCACTTTTGCGATTTTTGTCTGCTTAAATTCAAATTGGATACTTCGTTCTTGGAAGGGAACAAAGAATTGCACAACAGTGGCTTAAAAAGATTGCATAACAGTGGCTTAAGAAGCATCTCAGTTAAACAACCTAACATTCATCCTTGTCAGACTGGTAAGAAAATGTCAGCCAAGAATTCAGTGTTTTGCCCCAGATAAACAAAGTTGGCCCCAGAATCCTTCTCAACACAGTGTTTCACACAGCTATTGCCAAGCTATTGAATTTGACAAGGGAAATAAAAATTATTTGCCATTCCTTTTCTAGGCTATTCTCAAATAGCAAACAAAACAGATTTGAGTTGTAAAATTTAGAACTGCATTGGTAAGAAGTAAAAGATGTGTATGTTAAGTTGATTTTGAGGCTGAGATCTGCTGGCATTAGTTAGATTCTCGTGCTTTTTAGCTAGGCACATGGCTAAGCAGAATAATAAGGATTACCACATTGTCCAATTTGAGAACCACAGGTCTGTGGTTCAAACTTACCAGCCACTCCTCGGAAACCCTATACAGGGGCGCTACAACTCAGAACTGACTCAATGGCACTTGACAACAACAATCTTGTTAAAAATCATTCTCATTTTGACTCTTGCAGCCTAACTCTAATCTTTAAAGAAAAATTTTCCATAGCTCTTTCCTTTAACAAAGCCTAATTCTGGATTTCAGGCTGGTCCCTGGCTGTCTGCTCACCTTCGGTCTTTTCCAGTCCACTCGGGTGTGATCTCGAGCATCACTGGTCTTCCACTGTTGCATGATTTTAGCTGGGATGGTGTCTGTGTAGTTCACTAACTGGAAACCTGTCACGTTTGCTCCACTCTCCTTGAACTTGTTTAGATCAATGTCCATGAAGCCCTGTGGAGGGATCGGAGGTAGATGTAAGAACATGCTGCCTGGAAAACCGACGTCAAATATGTTACAGAATCATAAGACTTTCCATGCTGTTGTACAAAGTAGACATGACTTAGTGGAGAGATGGTTGTGCCTCCCTTTCTTTTTAAGTCAAATATCATGTTGTGTACAAAGTTAACATTGTGGCTAAGAGTGTTTGCTCTGGAGCCAACCATCATGCCTGGACTTTAGTGCTGATTTTACTACTTTCAAGCCACTAGCTCTACAACCTTGGACTCACTTGCTTAATGGTTTTCCTGTTTGTATAATGGAACCTGGAAGGTTGTGGAGAAGATTCAATATGGTGATTTGTGTAAAACGCATGTTGCAAACTATGTGATCCTCAAACTGTGGCTGGGATTTTTAGGATGACAGGGCCATACAGAACATGGAACAACACAGACACTTATAAGGAGGGAATCATCTCATCTGTACCCCCCAACTTCCCACCAGCCCTTTTGAAAGAACAACAATCTGTAGTTCATTAGAGGCAAATTCCTACAAATTCTCCTAGGTTTTACAATTTTGTGACTGGGTCTACATTCTTTTCCCTGTACATTATCCCATGCAATAAATGAGTTCTTCTCTACCTCATGGGGCCTGTTCAAGTCTAACACCCAAAATGATTCTCTATTGGGATTGAAGCTTTCCTTCCCATTTGATGACGTTCAGTTAAGCTCAGGAAGCCTTCCACTGAAAAAGAAAGCCTTGCATTTGCATAACATGTTCAATAATTTTATACTTGTGACCTCACTTCACTTTAGACTATATAAAGTAGAAATTATATTATGCCTATTTGCCAGATAAAGAAACTGAAAGTGACAAATGAACTTGCACACAGTCATTTAATAAGCTAGTGATACAGACTAGATCAGAACTAACGTTTTCCATTAGCTACTCACTCACTCACCCTCTAATCATTCGATAAACATATTTGAGGACCTATAATGCACTATCTTAGAGTCCTGGTGTGGCACTGCAGAGTAATACGCTGGACCTCAAGGTTGGTTTGAACAGCTAGGTTGGCATTCAAACTCACCAGCCACTCCTCGGAAACTCTATACAGACTCCCTTTGAGTCAGAACTGATTCAATAGCACTTAACAACAACAACAAAGGGCACTATCTAACTGTAAACAAAATAAGTTAAATCCTGCCCTCATGAAACTTACATGCTATTGGGGACGATAGACAAAAAGCAAATAAACAAGTAAATATGGAGTATTATATAGTCATGCAGAATCCAGCAGAATGTACTACACAGTAACAGTGAATTCAATGAAGAGTGGAATAAGAAAATGCAGACAGGTGGAGGTCATGCTTTGGAGTAGATGATCAGGATGGATCAATATGAGGAGGAGGTTTTGCACAGGTACCTAAAACAGTGAGGCCCTGTCAATGATCCTCAGGGATAGTTGGGGAAATACCCTCTGAAAAAGGCCTAAAGATGGGAAGAGTCTTGGTATGTTCTAGAAACAGTAAGGAGGCTGGTATGACTGAGCACAGTGAATGCTGGGAAAGGATGAGAAATCGGGGCTGAGTGGCAGCTCCAGGCTGGATTACTGGAGGCTTAGGTTAACTTGGGTTCCTTTTCAGGCATAACTAGGTACCCAGTGCAGGCATTTGAGCAGGAATCATGAAGTCAATGCTCTTTGGGATCCACAGGTGGGGAAACAGCCAGATCACAATGAATGAAACAGTAACATGAGTACAGTAGAGATTCCTATCTGAAAAATGGACTTGACTGAAAGATGTCCCTCTTCCACCTCTATGCCTCTAAACTTTGATGATTCTTTATTGATTATCAAACTACTCCGGGCTTTTGCCCCTGATATTCTCTCTGTGGAAATGTGCTTTCCTTGGCTGGCTCCAAACATACAAACAAATGCCATGTGAAGGATGCATCTACTGTTAGCAAAAGAACACCAAGTACTGCTGGCAATCACTAGAAATACGGAGAGAGATCCACAGACATAATCAACATGACTGAAACCATGAACGAACTCGGGCCACCAGTACTATGAGATAATGAATTTATTTTGACATTGTTATTGGAAAGATATATTATATATATAGTTGTTGTTATGTGCCGTGGAGTCGGTTTCAACTCATAGCAACCCTGTAAAGGGTTTCTGAGGCTGTAAATCTTTACGGGAGCAGAAAGCCTCATCTTTCTCCCACGGAACAGCTGGTAGTTTCGAACTGCTGATCTTGTGGT